TGCAGTGGCACCAGGCACAGGAACTGAAAGCGGGAAGACTTGTCAGTCCTATGCTCTCAGTGGTTCCTCGCTGGCACTCAGGCAGCCTGGAGGAGAATGAGGAAGACGTCTTGCCTGACTGGAATTAGGGTTGCCCACTGTCTAATCACACAAACCCAAACACCTTTGCCCCACCCCTCCCCGAGGCCCCGCCCCTTCTCTGAGACCCCGCCCTGCTCACTCCCTTACCCCCTCCCTCCATCGCTCGCTCTCTCCCACCCTCACTCACTTTCACTGGGCTGGGACAGGGGGTTGGGGTGTGGGAGGGGGTGCAGGCCCTGGCCTGGGGCCAAGGGGTTTGGAGTGTGGGAGGGGGTTCCAGACTGAGCCTGGGGCAGAGCGTTGGGGTGCAGGAGGGGGTGCGGGATGCAGGCTCTGGGAGGGAGTTTGGGTGCTGGAGGGGGCTCAGGGCTGGGGGAGAGGATTGGGGTGTGGGAAGAGATGCAGGCTCTGGGAGGGAGTTGGGTACAGGAAGGGGCTCAGGGCTGGGCCACGGGTTTGGGGTGCGGGAGGGGTTGTGGGCTCCGGCCGGGCAGCGCTTACCTCAGGCGGCTCCCAGTGCTTACCTGCCTGGGACTAAGGCAGGCTCAAACCACTCCAGCCTCTGATGTCACATGCTAAACTGGTTCAGCTCTGATCCGGTCTGAAAAATCCTCCATGGAATGCACAGATGCTGCAGGAACTGGAGTTGGTGGGTTAGCAAGTGATAGTCTTCCCTGTGCATAAGTGTTGAACCAAAGACCATAGCATGCGATAGAGGGCAATGTACTGAGAGAGGTGCCATCTTTTGGATGTAAAACTGGCATGCTGATGTATCCTTGATGACCAAAACTTGATGATGCTTTTTTTTTAAGAGCAGCAGAGTTAGTTCTAGTTGCATAGCCATATTCTAGTTTCGGTACTTATATTCTGCTTGCCAAAGGGCCTCTTGCGAGTTCATTTGGGTATGATATTCTTCACTTCCTTTCCTGAGCTATTGTGAAGTGTTCCTGTTCCTATTGAACCCAGAAGTGGTTGCATTTTATGGCATGTGAAGGGATTCCAGTATATGGCATTACAGTTGTGAAATTCCTGTGGATGCTTCTGGATAAAAAGTGGTATATGAATGCAACATACGCATGTAGTATATTATTTATCCCTACTCAGGTATTCTATGGCATGCTAAGATTTTTGAATGGAGACTGAAATACAGATGAAAAGTGCAAACTGTCTTTGCAATGGAATGAACATTTGCCTTAATGAAAAATGAAAGAACGAGATGAGGAATTAAGAGGAAAAGGCTGTAACACCTAAAACAGATTATAGAAGCATGTTGGAGCGACATGCTAAATCCATAAAGTGGTGATATAAAGGGAACAGGAGCCATTATTGTAATTTGTCAATCAGGACAGAACTTATAAAATGTTTATACATATAAAATGTCTAAGAATAATGAAGTCAATCCTGCTCTAAGCTAAATGGCCCGCTAGCATTCCCTACTGATGCAACAGAGTCTATGGTTTTTAGAACCCGACAAGAACTAGTCTTTTCAAGATAGTCTTTGTGATTTTAAGCAGAGGCAATGCTCCCTTATTGACTTGAAATTACTTAAGGCTAAAGGTAAACAAAAGGTTGCAGCAGGCCCTTTATCTCATGTGCTCAGCTCTTCAGAATGTATTTGATTAAGTTCCCCCTTGGAAGTGAAGCTTAAGTCATTGAAAAGGAGAAATTTACCTTTATAGGTGGAAAAATTAGTTAAAATTATAGAGGATGATGACGGGAAGGACCAGGGCCCACTGGCATTCTCCTCACTACAATCACGGCAAATTGACTGAGACGCATATGCCGACATGATCATAATGCTCCCCACTCAGAACCAGAGAGAATTCCTTATCAAAACATGCACAAGAAATTATGTATAGTTAAAGCACCTAAACCCTTAGTAGTGTGTGAGTAGTTGCAAACTGGATGAAGGAAAGGAGACCCAGGGTAAGTACTTCTGCCATGGTTTAGGAACTATAGAGAGGTCACTAGAGACCTCAGCATTTTTATTAAAGATCTCTCATAACTGATATTAGAAAAACCTCATAGAAACAAAACATCAACATTCAAGTTTCTCAATGGCTTTGAAATGCAAAAGAGGGTCCTTTTGCATCCCATGGCCCCATCTAGTCCAGTGTTCACAAAGTATGTACGATGGGCCTAATAGTCCATAGAGTGAGGTAATTGGACACATAGGCAGTGAGGAATTTGGGCATTGGAAGGGAAGATGGGTCCATGAGCGGACCCCTGTCACTTCTAAATAATTGGAGACCCACTGATCTAGTTTTAAATGATAGCAAATGCAATTTAATTCAGATATGTATGGTGCAATGATGCCATGAGCAAAGAACTTAGGGGAATTTGTGCTGACTAGGAAGGTGTTTACAGCACTGACCAGGAAAGAAAGTGGATGCCAGTACAAAAATTAGCTGACTCCTTTATCCCAAAGTGCTGCTATAGCTGTAAGAAAGGACTGTAGATATATGTAGTTGCTTGATTATGCCTCGTTGTTATTATCTGGGTTCGTGGACATAGAGCTGGAGGAAAGAGCTCACTGTCTCTGACGGGCTCTCAGCGTGAGCGGCATTATACTGTGTGAGCTATATCGGGGAACTCATTTAATGTGCTATTATATAGTGCATCCAAGCAAGAGCCTGGATTAAAGTGAACCCATGATTCCAATGGTCTTATGGGACTTCCATTATTCTATCCAGTTAAACAGGGAATAAGGAATTGCCCCTCAAGAGAGAGGTTATAAATAGATAACGGCAGTATTACAGCTGTGGAAGATACTGGGTAAACCTAAAAACAGAAGAATGGCCACGCTGGGTCAGACCAATGGTCCATCTAGCCCAGTGGCCTGTCTTCTGACAGTGTTCTGTACCAGAGGCTTTGGAGGGAATGAATAGAAGAGGGCAATTTATCTAGTGATCCATCCCCTGTCATCCAGTCCCCACTTCTAGCAGTCAGAGGTTTAGGGACACCCAGAGCATGGGGTTGCATCCCTGACCATTTTGTCTAATAGCCATTGATGGACCTATCCCCTCCATGAACATATCTATTTCTTTTCTGAACCTAGTTATGCTTTTGGCCTTCACAACATGCCCTGGCAATGAGTTCCACAGGTTGACTGTGCATTGTGTGAAGTACACCCTTCAGTTTGTTTTAAACCTGCTGCCTGTTAATTTCATTGAGTGACCCCTGGTTCTTTTGTTATGTGAAGGGGTAAATAACATTTCTTTATTGGCTTTTTCACACCAGTCATGATTTTACAGAGCTCTAACATATCCTCCCTTAGTCGTCTCTTTTGTAAGATGATCAGCCCCAATCTTTTTAATCTCTCCTCATATGGAAGCTGTGTCATACCCCTAATCATGTTCTTGACCTTCTCTGTACTTTTTCCAATTCTAATATATCTGTTTTGAGATGTGATGACCAGAACTGCATGCAGTATTCAAGGTGTGGGCATACTATGAATTTCTGTAGTGACTTCATGGTATTTTCTGTCTTATTATCTATCCCTTTCCTAATGATTCCTAACATTCTGTTAGGTTTTTTGACTGCTGCTGTACATTGAGCGGATGTTTTCAGAGAACTATTCACAGACTCCAAGATCTCCTTTTTGAGTTGTGACAGCTCATTTAGACCCCATTATTTTGTATGTATAGTTGGGATTATGTTTTGTAATGTGCATTGCTATGTATTTATCAACACTGAATTGCATCTGCAATTTTCTTGCCCGGTTATCTCATTTACTTCTGCTTCAGACAAATGTGGACGTCAAGGTTACAACTTCCAGGAGCAAAAATCTGGCTCTTGACCTTAATCTGAATGGAAATCAGGGTGCTTGGATGCTGAAGCATCTTTGCTGGCCTAAGAAATTACCTATATTTTTGCATGGCTGGGATTATTACAGATTTCTGCCGAGACAGCCCCTTCTCCTGGCAGTAGGAAGGTAGTTGTGATCCCTTTCACCAATCACCTAGCACTGCCCAAATCCCTGATTTAACGTGATGGCAATAAGTGAGTGTCAGCTGGTGATGGCCTGAGTGGGAAGAGCAGTGGGTGAGGAATGTGGCTGCGAGTTTCAAGGGAGGCTTTTCTCTGAGGAGGGTGCACAGAAGGGTGGATCTGCATTGAGTAAAAGGCATGTCTTCTGTAGCCTAGCATCCTGCATGTGACTCAGCCAGTCCTGGAAGTGGAGATCGATGTGCAGCGATATTTCTTCAGACTTTGTCTGCATCGTCCAATGAACACATACATGTATTTTGACAGCAGTGTGCCCTTGTTGCCAAGAAGGACAATGGCATTTTGGGATGTATAAGTAGGGGCATAGCGAGCAGATCGAGGGATGTGATTGTCCCCCTCTATTTGACATTGGTGAGGCCTCATCTGGAGTACTGTGTCCAGTTTTTGGCCCCACACTACAAGAAGGATGTGGATAAATTGGAGAGAGTCCAGCGAAGGGCAACAAAAATGATTAGGGGTCTGGAACACATGACTTATGAGGAGAGGCTGAGGGAACTGGGATTGTTTAGTCTGCAGAAGAGAAGAATGAGGGGGGATTTGATAGCTGCTTTCAACTACCTGAGAGGTGGTTCCAGAGAGGATGGTTCTAGACTATTCTCAGTGGTAGAAGAGGACAGGACAAGGAGTAATGGTCTCAAGTTGCAGTGGGAGAGGTTTAGGTTGGATATTAGGAAAAACTTTTTCACTAGGAGGGTGGTGAAACACTGGAATGCGTTACCTAGGGAGGTGGTAAACTTCCTTAGAAGTTTTTAAGGTCAGGCTTGACAAAGCCCTGGCTGGGATGATTTAATTGGGGATTGGTCCTGCTTTGAGCAGGGGGTTAGACTAGATGACCTCCTGAGGTCCCTTCCAACCCTGATATTCTATGATTCTATGATTCTATTTATTTCTGTTTCCTGTTTTTCTCTTAGCAACGAGCCAGGAAGATGAAGTGCTGCCTTCTCTCTGTCGGGATGGCCGTTCTGCTGGTTGTTGTCGTAATTATTGCAGTCTCAGTCAAACACTGATCCCGCTGAGATTTCTACAGGTGGGAGTTTATATCTGACTCTTTATCATGTGATTTGGATGAAGGCTGGGATAAGTGGATGGCTCAGGGATGTGGTGATGACTAGAGTGGTGTATCTCTAATTTGTTGGTTCATATCCAGACCTCAGAAGTTAGATGTGACAATCATTACCCTCTAAAGGATGCTGGGGGGCCTAGGTGAAATGTGTGAGTGGTCACAGTCCCATTCTAGGTAGACATGGGGAAACTTGCACTGCTGTTTTCTATTCTGCACTCATGCTTTGAAGAAATTGAGGCACTCAGACTCCAGGGCAGTTTTCCTGGCATCTTTCACTAACTTTCTATGCATGCCGAAGCCTGTCCGATGTCTGGGCCAGGCTGAGATCGGCCCTTGGTGGGCTTGCAGAAATCTCCCCCTCACTTGTGCAGCCCATGTGAGGAATGCTACAGCCGTGTCTCCTGCCTTCTTCCGTATTGGGGGAACAATCTGCACCACGGATAGACCCTGCACAGTGTGTAATGCCTTAATCACGCCGAGCAGCTCAAGAGACACATCACTTCCTGAGGAACCCTCCCTCCCCCACTCCTCCTGATTCAGATGGCTCTGCATTGCCCTCCAAACAGGGCTCTGTCTAAATTGCACAATTTATCTCTGGCTTTTTTTTATCCTGCACAATTTATTTCTCTCTCTCGCATACAACAAACTGCGCAGGCCAGATTCTGATCACGCATGCCAGCGTAAATCTGGCATAACTCCAGTGACCTGAATGGCATTACTCTGGATTTGCACTGGTGTGTCTGAGAACAAAATCCAATCTCATATGCTACTTTATGTCAGTATGGAGCGATGTTAGGGTGTACAAAATCAAACATCCTCAACTCCTGGAAATCACAAATCTTATCAACCCATGGTTAAACCTGGACGCATTTAAGGCCTACTTGGGCATGTCTACACAGCAAAGAAAAACCTGCCGCTGGCCCATGCCAGTGCGGCTTGAGCCGCGCAGCTCTTACATAGCTGTGTAGACATCCGGGCTTGGGCTGGAGCCCAGACTCTAGGACCCTGCGAGGAGGGAGGGTCCCAAAGCTCTCAGCTGGCACGGGCCAGTTGCGGGGTTTTTTTGCTGTAACACCTTTTTTTTTAATCCGTTAGATTGGTGCAGTCACAGAGCCAGAATAACCTAATGGTAATGAAAAGCCCAGCAGGAAAATTGGAGTTAATCTTCTTTCAGAATTTCATGTGTTTGGGGAGGGGATCCTAATGACTCAGTACAGCCCTCGGAAAAGCTGAACACACAATTTTCCCGTCATCCTTCAGTGGTTGAACCACTAACGACCTAGTGCATAAAACACCAGTTCCTCAACAGCAGCACCAATAAAAATATAAAAACTGGACTGGATTATATTGGATTCAGCCTGGACGTGTCCTCTTATTTCATCTCACATGAGACAAGCACCAACATGGTGACGTAATGACATCTGACCTTTATATACCACTTGTCATGCAGAAGGAGCCCCAAATGCTGTACAAACTACTCATTTATATACAGGTATCACTTTACCCACCTCTAGGGAGAAATGCATCAGTTGTTTTTTTTTTCCCCATGCCCAACAGCTCTGCACAACAATTCAAGGCAAAAACTGAAGTATCTAATTGAGAGACAGAAAATAAATACTCCACTTTGAATGAGGCGAGGACACTGAACCTAACATCCCGAGACTTATAAAATGTGCTGTGAGATCTATAATGAGGACAACTAGTTAGGACTCCAGTTTTACATTTCATCCAGGAGAGGCTACAGCACAGGGCTCTTGAATCTTTGCTGGACCATTGCTTTATTGCTGAGTCAGTGGGAAAGTAACTGCCTGCTAAATCACTTTTGATTTTTCTCCCATCCTCGTACTGATCAGGCCAAATATCTCTAGCTTTCAAGTTCACATCCCAGGATGAAATACCTTAATGTCACTACACTGAGAGCCCCCAGACCCAGCTGATCATATTTTGGACCTAGCTAATGATTCATTTGTAATAGATTTTTTTTAAATTATGATTTCAGCAACCCTGATACCCCCAAAATAAATAAAGGTCCTTATTACAAGGGAAAGGCAGGTTGTTCTTTCACAAATCAGATGTGAAGCAGGCACAGCAAATCCATCCCTTCCATGGGATTCATCGTTTGTTCCTTGAAAAATAAACAAGAGAGTGGCTCTTGCTTTGAATTTCCTAAGTAACAGCGGTGCCATCGGTTCTTCAGCTCAGTGCGTGCAGAGAGACCAGCTGTTCTTATGAAATCTCCAAGCCCTGTCCTAAGTGTGTCACTTCATGCCCTGAGGCATTCTTGACTGAGGATGGAGAGAAAAGCATCCATTGCATCCAGCGAGGTTATGGGGAAACTCCTGGAGATGTATGTACGTTTTTTTGTTTCCACCTCGGGGATTATGAAGTAACCAGGCATTTTGGAGTCAAATTGCTCATTATGGAACCATGTTGCAGCTGCTCTCTTAGCCATTCTGGTATAAGTCACTGAACATCTTAAAGGGATAGTATCCTGGTGACTCTCCTAGAAACTCCCTACCTTAACAATGCCTTTGCTTTATAATTGTTAGAATTCCTGATCCTGGAAGCGTATCTCCATTGGCTCTCTCTGCCTGACTTATACACAAAGTGTTTCAGCCTTTGGACTCAGTGCCAGAGTCTAGGAAAACCAAGAGAATGCAGAGAAAACCCACTAAAATGATTTGAGGGCTTGGAACAAATGCCTTACAGTAAGAGAGTTAAAGAGCCCAGTCTGTAGTTTATCACAAAGAAGATCAAGAGATGACTTGATTATGGTGTGTCCCTTCATGGGGAGAAAACACTGGGCACTGAAAAGTCTCTTTAAGAGAGAATGGCATAACAAGAACTGATGGCTGGAGCTGAAGCCAGACAAATTCCAGTGAGAAATAAGGCACACAGTTTTAACAGTGACAGTGATTAATCATTGGAACAAACTACTGAGGGACATGGTGGATTCTCCATCTCTGGATGTCATCAAACACAAGTTGTTGGGCTCAGTGCATGGGTAACTGGGTGAAATTCTATGAACTGTGATAGACATTAAGCCAGACTAGGTCCCTTCAGGCCTTAATCTATAAATTTAAGAAGATTTGGATAGAGGTAATCGTATAAAAGAGCCCTTCACTTCTCAGTTGCTGATTCATATTCAGCTTAAGTCAGTCAAGACTTCAGTGTTGTTGCCATCTGATGGCAGCTTGGTGGCCTATGTGAAATCGGTCCACCAAGTGCCCTACATCCGTATCTCATATCATGGCAACTATTACCCTCATTAGCAGTCTCAGTAGACTCTCTATTTCTTGGTCTAATCTGTTCCTCCCTGTGCTTTGGAGCTTTGCTACATAGTTCAGATTCAGATGTTAACTTTCCAAAGTTCAAGGGTGGTAAGATCTAAACATTCAGGCCCTTCTATACTTTTAACTAATTGAGACACAACCTTAAGGGAACCGTTAAATGAAATACCTAGCGCAGTTTCTAATTCCTTTCCCTCCAGTTTGGGGGCCCAATTCTACATGGAAGGAGAGAATCAGGCCCATGGGGTTTAACCATTCCCTGAAGATATGGTGCACTCTCTTATTCACTCTCTTTCAGCTTAAAGTGAAATAACCATCAGATCAAGCTGGAGACATTGCTTTGACTTTTTTTTTTCCTTTGCAGTCACAGATAGCCATGTCCAGTCCATTTAATTGGTGCATTCTGTGATGAAGTGTTTATCTCACCACTCAGAGAGGACACAGACTCTAGCAGCTTGTTTGATATGTTTTTTTCCTCATGCTTTCAGGTCTTGGCTATTTTCTTTAATGTCTTGTACTCCGTTGTGCCCCTCTGTGCTCTACACCTGATGTCCTGACTGCAGTGGGAATAATAAAATCCACAATTTTAGTTCACAGCCACTGGGTATGATCTGAGGACCATAGGAATGCCTCTATCAAGGGCTTCATGCTGTATAGCCTAAGCCACTCCTCATCTCAGAGCCTGAAACCTAAGAGATTTCTGAACTACTGGATTTTGCTAAATCAGCCTCAGAGAGCCCCACTTGGTGTCATTAATACTGAACTTTTCCAGTACACCAGAGGACTTTCAGAGACAATACACAGTACCCTGTGGAGCTGAGGGAAAGGATATTTCCAAGGCAGGAGACATCAGTAAAATACCAGTGAATGCAATTGGAGACTCTTTCTGTGGGGATTATATATACTGTTGAGGACACCGATGACAAAACCGACAGCTTGCATTGGTGTTCCGTGTGCACCCAGAACGTGGTGCTTACAATGCTCTCTCTTCACCAACTCAAGCCTAAATGCTGGGCACCCTCACAATGGAAATTCTGTGGCACGTTCTGTGTGTTTCTTGCATGGTGCCATCATGTTGCAGCTGCAACAGCAATTCCCGACTAAGCGACAATGTGGGATGTAACAATAAATTGACCTAATGAACATTGTAAATAAGGGAAAAACATGGCTAGCTTTGTTCCATGAAATTGCTTCTTGCTTTTTAAATTGATACCATGGGGCCAGTTTTACTTATTGGCTCTGCTCTTACCAGTGCAAGGTACATTTCTTAGTGGTCATGAGAGAGGCCCAATTTGCAGTCCTGTATCAGTCTCAAGAGCCACAGAGGACGTTGTCATATTTGCTAGCTGCCAATCACAGGACTGAATTAATCCACCACCCTGTTCCCTGAGCTGCCTGTGTCCTTTGTGTTCAGGAATGTACAAAGGAGCCAACAGTCAATAACTTTGCAAAAGCTCTTTTGTTCTGGAAGTGATTCTCCTTTTTTTCATCGGGGTATATTCAAGATTTATAGTCTCTTGATCTATAATTAATGTTTCAGATCCTGAAGTCCTTACTCAGTTTTTACTCTGGCAAGATTATTGGGCCAGATTCTTACACTGGTTTAAATGAGATCAGAATCTGGCTGTCAGTTTCAGAAGGAGTATTGATGGAGTTTTCTTAACACTTCATCTG